GGCCCAAGTAGCCACACTGGAATATTAAGAAGTGTGTAAAACAGCTAAGAAAATTTTTTTTGTCCCTCTAAGAGGGCAGTGGGCAGCAGAGTGTGCCTGCGCTGTGAGAGCCTGGCGCTGTGAGAGCCTGGCACTGTGCTGCAGGAGGAAGAGACAAAGGTAAAACAGAGGCAGGAACCAGCTGCTACATTCAGCACAACGAGGCCTTTGCTCAAACCAGGTATCACCAAGGCTTCCAAAATCCCTACTGGTGGGAAAACACTTCCCACTTAAACAGTCCCTTTGCAGTGAGGACACTTGCACAGGTTAATTGAGGGGGCATTGCTGCCTGTCCCAGAAGTACTGCTGCCATCTCTCCCAAGCTCTGCAGCAGTTCAGCTGAAGGGAAAGCAAAGTTTACTGCATCCTCCTGGAAGGGCAGGGTGGATCTCCATCTGCAGGGTGTGGTTGCTTTGAGATGGAATTTGGTTGGGACTTTGGGGTTAGAGCAGGAGTCCCGTGATGTTCATTCTGGAAAGGTGAGGATGTTTGGTTTACATTTTTTCCAAAAGGTTAGGAGTTGTGGTGAGCATAATCATTCTGGCATGTCAGCCTGAGCTACCTAGGGGGAAGAGCACCACCTTCCGAATTACCAAGTCAAATTGACTGTAGCAATCAACTTCTCCTTCTAAGTCCCCATCCAAAAACAAACAGGCCCAACCCTGCTTAACTTATGAGATCATAGCCTGAGGCAGTGTAGCTCCCTGAGACATCACTGCCTCACCCATCATCTACAAACATCAGTCGTGCAGGGATGGTATGGGTCTCTCCCTGATTTTACATACACAGAGATCTCTGACCAATGACATAAGCCCACTGGAAAGTGCCTGCAGCACCTCTCCAAGGTGGTAGGCAACCAGCAGAGCCATGGAATTGAGGACAGAGCAGTGGAGTCATCAGGAATGTGTGGATCTCTAACCTCTCCTGGCTGGCTCAAATTGGAAACCTCTTGCCCAAACTAGTGTTTGCCATTCAAAGCTGCCTTTTGTGAACCTTGCCACGCCAACACTTTGCTGCTGCTCAGTTCTACTCTGGCTAACATATTCATCTCCTCATCATCACCTTAGAACCTATTTGCATTGTTAAACTGCTAGGAGAAATTGGTTTTCCCGTGATACCTCCAAATCAAAGCTGCTGGAGCTGGAGATCTTTCTTCTGTTAAGGCATGTTACTAACCCTTAATGGGTTTCTCAAATGCATAATCCATACCTTTCACTTCATAAATCATACTCGTGCCTGGCTCCCCTCACTGAAGCAAAAAGTTCTTGTTGACATTTTCTTGAATCTGGCCTTTTCATAGCATTGGTTCTTTGACATCAGTACAGGAACCTCCACCACTGCTAACAGAACTAACTTTATTGATCCACACCTTACATGTGACAAAACAGAGGTGTGACAAGCTGCAGAGGGTTGTGACAGGTCAGGCTGGGACTCTACCTGTACATGATACCAGAAGCTTGTGTCAGATGGTCTGAACTCTGGACCCAAGACAGTTCTTTATCTACTTGCTACCAACTTTTTATCTTTCCCCATGAGATGCTTTTGTGAAACAGAAAGAAGAGGAGAAAAATAACTATTAATCTCCTAAACAGAGCAAAAGTGTTGCAGCTGGTACACCTGATAAGCATTTCATAAGTTGCATCACCTTGGGTGTTCTGCTTGACAGCCTTAAACCCAGAAATTAGTTCCATTATTCAATAGTTTCATAAAGAAAATAACATTCATTAATTGACAATATGTATCCCACTTCTGCAGGCAAGAAAAAAAAAAGGTGAATTAACATTATACAGAAGAGCAGATCAAAAGTCAAAATCATCTTGATAATTTGTGGAAATTGGGGGTGGGGAGGTTTAATTTAGTAAAAATCAGTGAAAGATGCCATGCTTGTAAAGGCATCCTTCCTGCCTGCTCAGCAGAGGTATGCTCTCAACTGGTGGATTGCCTGTAGCCTCACTCATCCGTCAAAAAATATGTGGACAGATTACAGAATCCAGGGAAAAGAAATTTGAGAAATACCATTTCCAGCAAACACACGAGCTGGGGTGTTTAGGCAAGGAGAGAGCTGGTTACAGGGAGCAAGAGGAACTTCTTCAACTGTGTGAAAGGCCATGCACAAAAAGGCTCCTTTCAGCCCTCCTTCAGTGGCTGTATGAAAAATTCACTTTTGATCCCTGGACCCATTTCTGTAATAATTTCATGCTTTATGGTTAAGAAAGAAGCTTGAAATATAATTTAAGGGTAATCTAAAGGTTAAAAAAACCAAAAACCCTGAAAAAAGTTTGTCTTATGTCATGATTTGGCACGTACTGGATGGGAAGATCCAGAATTTTTGATCACCATTTGGCAATGCTTACTTGCTTGCCTAAAGGGTTTTTAAATGGCACCAACATTTTATCAGCCATGTTACCTCCTCCCATTGTCTGTATTTTCACTGACATAGCTTTCTTGAGCCTTGAGCAGCTTTCCAAAGCACCCAGGCTGCACAGGGGCACAGAGCCCCTCTCCCTGTTTTATTGCAACTCAGCATCAAATTCCTCCTTATCTCCCCGCAGCACTTTCTGAAACTCAATCCAATTTGCTCTGCACTGACCTATGTAGGTCTTGCAGCGCTCTTCACCTCCCAGATTGCACTCTCTGTGCCCCAAGCATCAGCATCCAGAGTAAATTTTCCCTCCAGCTAGGAGCTTGGCTTTCTCTCCAAGCAGTCTCATTTTCCTACCTTCATGCACACTTGCATTTCCTTAATCAAGAGCATGAACTTCCATTAAACAGGAGAGTTTAAATGACAAGTGTTAAAGTAATTTTTTTAACCTCTTCTCATTCAGTAGGTGCCCTATTTCCCTGCAGAGCAGGCACTGCCTCCAGCATACTCACAAAGATGTGCCCTTACTGACACCAGCATCTCATTTTTATCCTGATTTTCAGCTCCTTGTAGACAAAAGAAAAAAATAGCAACTTGTGTGGATCACATCTAAAACCACGTGCATAAGTTCAAAGATAATTAGCCTTTAGTTGCTTAATGCTGTGCAAAGCACACATTTAACAGCTAAAACTGATTTTAATCTTTGCTTAATTCTTTTGCCAGACAGTCCCATTCACAGCGAGGCAGCTGTCTAAATATCTCAGCCCCTTGGGGTGAGGAGACAGGGGAGCCTCTTGCAATGCTTGTGGGTGACCTCAGCTGGCTTCTCCCACTGAGAGCTGCTTCCAGCTCATTTGGGGCAGAGGATGCCAGTGGGGCTAGGCCCCCAAGGAAATGGTTTATCTGTGAAGGACAAAACCTCTCTCTTTCCTTGGTTTGGGTAGCAAGCAATAACGTTGTAACAGAAATTTGGGTAGTGAGAGTGGCCAGATTAATGAAAAGTGATGGCCACACTGGTAAGGAAGTACATGGATTTACAACCCATTGCCTTTGCACTGGCCAGGCACGAAACCATCAGTCACTGCATCCTTCACCCTCTGTGACAGTAAAAGGAGTCTCCCCTTGAGTCAAAAAGGCTCTCAACAGCCAGAGGACATCAGCGAAACAGTCACATGACTATGCCCAAAATTCTGGGGTTTGACTGATATTTTTCCTTTAATTTTTCCTTGCTAAGCTTTGCCACACTAGAAGTGCCTGCTTGCAATTACACTCCTTAAAATAAGTAAATAGAACACTTTTAAAAATCATCTCAAATTGCCTTCTGTGGAATGTGATTAAACAGTAGCACTTTCTACATCCAGGAGAGAGCACACATACACACAAAGGGATGACACCAGGACCCAACAACACAAAATTAACAAATCATCCCTCTGCAGCAGGTAGTACCCCACCCCAAGGTTCTTTTACCTCAGTGTCTTAATATTCTCCAATATTTAGGGAAGCAAGGCATTACTGTGTAATCAGAGGGTACTCCTGCGTGTGGGATATCTCAGGCACCAAGATGGGGAGGAGCTGAACAAAACAATGTGCCTGTGTCTGTGGTGTGATGAGAAAATGTGCTTTGCTCCTGCTCAAAAATCTGGTGCACTCCTCAGCTCCAGACCAAAGCAAATTGTCATTTAAGGATTAAAATGCTCATTATGTTTTGGTTTGTTAATTTTTATTTGACCAATTTCTCTCTTACTGGCCCTTGGGTTCTAAAATATAGGAAGTGGTATAAAAATTGCATTATTTTCAATAAGTTCCCGACACCTAATCAGGCAAGGGTTTCCATTACAATTCCTGGCTAGTTCTTTTCTCCCCCAGAGTCTGGGAAACCACGGTCTTGTGTGAAGAAAGGAGATGAGAACCATGAAACAGAGCTGAAGAGGACAGAAATTGCAAGAGATGTTTGGAAAGCAAACAGTCACAACACAAGATTTTCTTTCAGGCCTGTGTTCAGACAGTTTAAATTGTCTGTCAGTCCCTCTGCCAAATATTTCCCAGTGGGTGTCTCTGCATGGCTCCCTGCTCAACACCACACTCAGAGAATTACAAAAAATTCAAAAGCCATACTAATGGCAGGGAGTTTTATTTACCTCCCTGTGCAGTTAGCTGATAGACTGCACAGCACTTTGAAGTGAGAAAGCTCTAGACAGAGAAGTATTAGAGTTAGTAATGAAAATTAACATGAAAAGGCTTTTAAAATTTTCTGTCAGGTTCCCTCTAAACACAGTATCTCCAGGTCTAAAAGAGTGTTAGCTCACACAAGAATTATAAAAGACAGATCTTGAATAAAGAGCTCAGGACTCAGAAATCACACCTATGAAGTAATATAAAGGCTTGTCTAGAAACAGAGATGTAAAAAATAACAATAAATCCATTTGGGACCCTTCAGGCTTGCCTGCAAGCTTTACAATCACCTTCCAAAGGCTCACACCTACAATTCAATTAGATAAGCCCTCTTCTCTTGCAAAATCAAACAAAATCCACAGTCTATCACAAAGACTAAATGACAGGCTCATCCTCAACATTGTTACTTTTCCCAATTTGGAATACCTTCTTCCAGCTTGCTCATCCAGCAAATTCTACCTTTTCCTTCTGGAATAATGCTGGTGGTTGCTGAAGGCCTCCTACAGCTCACCAGTGGTCTCAGAATTTCAGGATACAATTTCAGATCCATGTTCTCTGCTGGAAGGATAAAAATACAAATAAATCAAACCACAACCAAAAAAAACCCACCAACTCCTGGCACCACAGAAGAAAGCTTATAGTCATTTTATTCATCTGCAGGATGTGAACTTTCCATGTGCTTACTGATTTCTCTTATTAAGCAATCATCAAACATTGATAGGAATTTTTTTGCAGGAAATGGAAGCACAATGTGTTCATTAAAAAAAACCCAAAACAACACCAATAGAGGAGGCAGCCAGTTTAAGCCACTTGACATTTCAGGAAATTAAGTTATACTGTGGTCCCAGCTTATAAATTCAGCAAGACCTACAAGAGAACTCCTTGGAGACCTGCTGTGCTCTTGTTTCAACAGTGATGGCCACACAGGCTAATTGAGGGCAGGAGCCACGTGCTCTGTGACAGCTCTCCTGCTGCCCTTCCTCTCTCCCAGCAGCTCCTACACTGCTCACAGTCTGCATGCTCCAGCCAGCTCTCTCATTTAGCTGCTGAGCATACTCTTCTGGGGGAGAGAAAAAAAAAATAGGATTTGGAAGGTTAAAAAAAATCCAGTGAAAGGAATAATAAAGTTTCAGAGAAAACCTCAGACCTCTGTCAAACAGCTGAATGTATTTTGGGGGTGCAAAGTTCAAAGCCCAAAGCATCTCACCCCGCATGGCAGATCACACTGGAGTTGCAGGTATTACAAGTACAGACTGGAGATCCAGGGTCAGGCACTGAAGCTCACAATCTGGACAGATTTATGGGCTGTTTTTGTCCACATCATTGCCAAAAGAGCAGAAAGGAGGAGGTTGAGCAACAGCAGTACATGGGCCAGCTGTGTGGGAGATGAAGAGACACCCATCCTGGAATGGTGGGAACAGCTACCAAGGCTGGTGTGGTTCAGCCTATTCCTGGTGGAATTTCTGTTGATAGAAAGGGAAAGACAGAGCCACCTCATAGGGACACATCCTCTTTACCTGAGACAAGGTTGAAGCTGGGTGCAGAAGCTGTGAGCTGCCACCTGTGGGCCTGTGTCCCAATATGCTCTCACCTGCTACCATGGCAAGAGAAACACAGATACAGCAAGGAAAACCCACCCCTCCTTAGTGAGAGGGACAGAGAGAAGGGATGTTTGGGAGCTCCTGGGCACTGTGTCCAGGCAGTCTCTCTCTCAGGGGAGAGACACATGCACTCTGATGGCTGAAATTTGCTTTAAGTGACCAAGGGCTGCACAGGTACAAACACAACCCAGGTTGCCAACATTCCTGAAGCTCTCCACATTTTCTCATCCAAAAGGCTCAGAGGATCTTTGAAAGCTTGCAGGATTGCAGCCCATTGCTCATTCCCAGTTAAAAGCACCTCTAAGGTGTCACATAGGGTACCACTTTCTCCTGTCCATTTGGTGTGTGCTGAGGGTGCCTTTCAGCCCCCTGAAGTGATCAGTACTTGCAGGATGTGGATTTGGACTGATTTGGGAATGGCAGCTCCCTCACTACCACTACACTGTGTAGACATCTGGCTAAGGGCAACTTCCATACCCAGCTCAGCCTTCAATCACTGTGTGACCTCAAGCACGCAGAAAAAAACAGAGTCCTGAGCAAACGACCTGTTTGAGATCACCCAGCTGGTCAAGAGAGGATCAGGAAGCCATCAGTGCCTCCCTGTCCCCATCATTCTGGCAGAGCCCAGTTCCTGAAAGAGGAACAGTCAGGGATGAGTCAAACCCAGCACACGCTGCCCAGTGAAAAATTATGAGACTATAAAAAAGCCAGCTACAGACCAGCCTAAGCAAGGACTAGCCAAAACCTTTTGTGGAAAGGCTACTGAGAATCCCATCATATTCCATCCCCAGTAATATCTGCTCCATCGTTTGCAACGTGATCATACAGAAAAGTCATGCAAAGGTAAAATGCTTACTAAAAACACTAATACTGCAAGCATTCACCTCCATGTAGGCGTGGAAACCTTCAAGTTTCCTTTTTATTATACGGATGGGATCCTTCTTTTCATTGGCACAATAGAAAATAGCCACAAAAATTCCACACACACAGCATCAGACCCCGCGACCAGCCTCGACACGCAGAGCGTCAGTAATGAAACACACCCCTACAGGGATTTAACACTTTGGCTTGTGCTCAGCTGGGGGACTTGGGCAGGACTTTCACTCTTCAGACATAAAAAAAATATTAATTATAATCAGCTCTGTCATTATTCCAACCCCCGCATCCCCCCTTCCCTGTTAGCAAAAGGAAGAGGAGCCATGTGCTGATGGGATTGTGGCTTTGCATGAACAAGATGGGGCTCTGTGTGTGTATGTACTGCATTTGCCCTGGAAATCAAACAGCAACTGCACCAAGGGCATCCTGGGAAGGGCCCTCAGGTGCCAAAAGAGAAATTCAGGGAAATGTTCCCTTATTAAAACAATTGCAAGAGCTGCTGCAGTACTTCCTTATGCACACATGCAGGCACTCTCCTTTCCTGCCCATCACACACATCCCCTCTGCCTCAGACACTCTTGCACAACCAGATGACAAAGTTTTCAGCTTCAATCTATGCAGGACCCACAGCCCTTCTCTTACCAACCTACCATCCCTGGTGCATTTGTGTTCCTCACCCCTACCCTTCCCAATAAACAACCTGTCCTGTGGTGTCCTACCCCAGGAGTCCCCAGAGTGTACACACCAGTGGTTTTGCAGTGCTAGCACAATAGGCACTGTAGCCAAACAGGCAGGCCAGAGAGTGCACAAGGTCTGAAAAGGCCAGCCAAGGTAAGGACATCTCAGGGATTTCTGATTATCTCCTTTCCTGTAGACTTCCTTTTACTCCCTTTCTAACTGTCTCTTCCCATGAACAGCAGTGGTGATGTCCTGCAGCACTCATTAATCAATGGTTAAGTGAGGGGTTATGCACCAGAGTATGAGAATTAGTTCTTTGCCAAATACCTCCCCATAAAGGTGTGCAAAGCTGCTTCCACAACACCTGGAAACTTTCTCCCCTAGGGTCTTGGTTAAACTAGTTGCAAAGTGCAATTCCTGATTTTCCACTACACCTTCCCCTGCATTGTCACTTTCTCCTTCCAGCTCTACTCCACCCATGGGCTATCCTGCTTTGGCCTTTTATATGATTTCTAGTCCTAAAGACAGGGATGGTCTCTTTCTTAGATGTCTGCGTAGTGCCTACCAACACAAGCCTGTGATCCACATCTTAAAGTTTCAAGAGGGAAACTGCAAACCCATAACACCAAGGACCAACTATTTTGTCTTTCACTGAAAAGCCTGCAGAAACAGGAAAATGCAGACACACTGGTGTATCTCCCTTGTCTTACACATATTCCCCCTCCTTTACAGTTTACCTGCATTGCAAATAGAGTTTGGGAAGAGCATGGAGCTCCAGTCAGGACCACTGAGCAGGCCAGGCCATCCCTGGACATGCTGCATGGTGCAATGCATCTGTGCTTCCCACAGCTGGCTGCAGAGCTTAAACTGTAATTGATCCAGGTGGATAATTATGAGAAAGACTGAGCTCTAACACAGGATGGGGGAAGAATAAAGATACACAGGGCTGGAGCCCAGTAAAAAACTTTGCCAGCATAATTTTCACCTTCAGTGCTGCTGCTGCTCACACCTTCACCTGGCCATGCACCCTGCCATGGTCAAACAGGTACCCAATGCTGCTCTTCAGGTCTGCTCTGCCTTTGCTTTGTGCATGTGTTGGCAACCACACTCACACACAAAGCCAGGCCAAATGCAGCCTATCCTGGAGAGAACTGCTCCGAGGTGATGCCTGGAGGCTACACTTCACCTTGCAGGCACACCCTGAAACAGGGCACTGAGATGGTACAGCACATATGGCAGGAGTCATCCTGCTCAAGGAAGACACTGACTTTTGTTATTCTCCATAGCTGGTTCATCCATGACAATAGTTTGTTCCTGCTCCAACCAGCTCTTTGCTCATTTTGGGCACAGTAGGAGAGCAAGACTGCATGCTCCTGGTAATTCCCATTTAGGAAAGATGCCATCTTTCTTCACACAGATGCCAGCAGGCACTACTACCAGAAACAGAAGGTCATTCTTATCAAGGATCTGACTGATTAAGAAGAATTTTAATTTCAAGCACTTTTCTAGTTAGACTTGTTTGGGAAAAACCGCTGCAACTCATCATGCCTCAACTTCTTCATATGGAAATTGAAGGGATATAAGACTTCTCAAGCTCATAAAAATCTAAAAGGGACAAGGGTTAAATGGTTGCTAATAAAGTCCCCACTTGCATCTGTCCAAATGTAACCGATATCCATCTAACCTTGGTAAAAAAGAGGTCAATAAGCAGACAGAAAACTCTTTGACCTGCAAGACAGCCATCCTTCTGTCAGTGAAGGCTTGCAAAATGCTCAAGAACTTTTAACCACCACCCTTCAGCTCTGAGATTTGAAGAAGGGCAAAAGCATATGCACTGGGCTCATGCTGGGAAGCACAGAGATCTCTCAGAAACACGACACCTAGATGGGCAAAGCGTTAACGTCTGAGAAATGTTTCTGTAGGGACAGAAGATTGGATGAAGCTGTGGTGATCCAGCTCAGCAGCTCAGTGCATTGCCCAAAAATAACCAGGTGGTGGCATGTGGGCTCCTCCCCCACCAAGCCCACCAGCAAATGCCCCAGCAATCCCAGCGCACGCTCACCCCATCATCACGCTTTGCTGGCCATTGGTGGTGGACAGCACCCCACCCTGAGAAAACATGGGGCATTCTTGGCACTCTGCACTGCAGGCAAGGTCATCAGACACGATGACAGATTCTTTGCCTGCCATATCCACGGAGGAATGCAGGGGAACATGATCCTGCCCTGAGCAAGTGCCAAGTTTGATTAAGGCTAATCGCTCCAAGATCATTCCTGTGAGGATGTTGCAAAGAGGGAGTTGCTTGCTCCCCATAACAAACCCAAAGACAAGACATGAAGGTTTGAGAGGATTTTGGCCAAGTCTCCCAAATACATAAAGGGGAGTGGCAGAGCCCACGAGAAC